TGTTCCAAAGTAGCCACCATTAAATAGTTGGTCTGTGCACTATGCTGCGGTAGACCTCCTAAATGATCTAGTGTAGGCGGTGCACAGTGTTGTAGCTTATGAGCGACAGTGAGGACATCGGAGAGGACGACCGCAGGATCTTGCGATCAGCTAGAGGCCCGATAACTCACGTGTCCCTAGGACCGGGGGGTGATAGGGAACTGTTCCGCCAGCAGCGGGAGAGGCAGCAGCAGAGGAGAGCTAGAGCAGACGAGGCCAGCAGGGCATTCGCTAGCGAGGCCGGTGCTACAGCAGCCATGGCTACCACAGCCATGGCACGTCTGCGCAGCAGACTTCCCCAGCCGGAAGTTCAGGTACCGCCGGGTCTACGGTCGCGCAGACCGTGAGTCAGTCCACTGGCTTAATGGCAAGCCAGCCCGCGGTGTTGACCCCAGAGGATGTCGCCATCCATCAGGCAGCCCTGCAGGAGGCACAGCTACAGCAGGCTTTAGGACAGATAAAAAGGGAAAAAGAGATGATGATTAGAAGAAAAACCAGGATGCAACGGAGAGGGACAGACATAGAGGAGTTAGAGACGATGGACCTGACGCATATGGATGATGATGTGAAGGTAGTTAGGAGGGCCCTGCTAGGCATAATTGAGATGCAGGAGCATCAAACTACCATCCTTCAGGACATTCAACAAAGCCTAGCCGTGTTGGCAGGCCGCGCTCAGACAGCACCATCACCAGCAGGGCCTGGAGCCTGGCCCGTGCCATATCCTCCTTTTTCTGTTCCACCGGTGACTGGGGTATCCCCATATGTAGCCCCGTCATCGGTTGCTATCGTTTCCCTGGGCATGCCTCTGTCATGAGGGGTAACAGCAGGGAGTAGTTTACAGGTTCCTGTACAGACAGTGGTTACTCCAAGTCCGTCACAGGTTACAATCACCACGCAGCCTGCTGTCTCGCAGCCAGTGCAGCCTCAGGGCTCACAGCCCCAGCAGTTAGCACAACAACCTGTTTCACCGGGTCCACAGCCTGGAATGATGCAGAGACCGGGACAGACACAGTGGGTTCCAAAGACGGCCATCGCCGCTCCCAAACCTTTTACCGGGGACAAGAGAGGCGAGGACCTTGACACATGGTTGAGGGCAGTGCCGGTCTACGTCAGGTGCAAACTCACCTTGCCGCACGAAGAAGTGCTTGTGGCTGCCTCCTACCTCGAGGGTAGTGCAGCAAGATGGTTGAGTGGTCTAGTACAACTTCAGGGATACAATCATGACTTCCACGCTTGGGCGGCCTCCCATAAATTGGAGGACTTCCTGAAGATGGTGGAAGAGAGGTGGCATGATCCTCAGGAGGCTCAAAGGGCCACTGACGCGACCCTGATACTGCACACACGGCAGTTTAAGTTAGTAAGGGAAGCCACCGACGCTGTTGAGCGTTTGATCTGCATCCTGGGGTACGCTATGATCCTCAGGTCCTGTTGACTTCGTACCTGAGATGTTTTTCACAGCCTCTCAGGAACCATTTGGCAAACGAGGCCAACATCAATATGCACAACTTTCCTTCGTTTAGCAAGGTGGCCCTAGACCTGGAAGCAAAGATAGGGCATGGACAGGCACCCACTACGGAAGGGAGAAAGAAGACACTGCATCCCAACTGGAAGGCGAGGGGTCGCTTAATGTTTGTTGACAACGATGGTTCAACCATCGAATTGGATGGAAACTTCCAAGAGGGAGTAGGTGCAGAGGCAAGTGGCGAAACTTCAGAGGGTGGAGTAGTCGCCGCCGTAACCCAACAAAAAGGTAAGGGGACCGGTAGACGCCGAGGAGGCTCCCGGTCTAGGAAT